AAGTATGCAAATGTATTCAAAACCTCTGCAGTTCTGTGAAAAATATCACCTCCTTTCCCTCCCCTTGTTGGCAACACAATGATGGTGTGGGTATGACAGTCAATGGGAGCAGGAGGGTGCCCTGTGTGATCTTTTCAACAACTGTTACAACACTCCCTCCCTTTATTACACTTCCTTTCCTTATTCTTAGCTGGTCTATGAATCTGTGCTTATCTACATAATTGCCTAATTAGCATGTAACCAATAGGAAAACACACGCATGAGCACACACACACACACACACACACACTGTAATACCTGGAGAAGTATGGCACATTTTGCAGGAAATCAACAAAGATCCATTTCATTGGAAATGGAATCAAAAGGGGGAAAAGTCGGAATTCTTTATATGCATCTGCCACAGGGAGTTACTAGCCCTAAACACACATAGAGGGCATGCTCTGTGAGAACACATACAGTACATATTTAGAGACAATTCTCATTTAATTTTAGGCCCTAGGCCTCGGCCCCTAGCTAATTTACAAGGCTGCTCTAGGAAAGACACAATTTTAGGAATGACAATAAGTCTATGGCATTTGTTTTTCCTGCAGGGGAAGCTATAACACATTCCCACTCTTCAAGAGAACCCAAGATTGATGACTTGGGGGTTTTGCTGGTTAATATATTTTATTTCTTCCTTTATTTTCTTTTCCAGCTCCCTTTGTACCCTGCCTGGCAAAAATTCTCTCAGCAGTCAAGGAGAGGATAACAGCACAGCTGCCCTTGAGCCGAATTTGTCAATCCTACTGGGAAACCACCTCGTGCTGTCAGACGATATGGTTTTCAGACACGTCTATACAGACTAGTTGAATTAAAGACCAACTCCAGACTTGATGTTGCTGAGCTCCTCGGCTCCAGCTTGCCATCCTGATTGATCGAGGAGATGGGTCTATAGTTAAAGTGGCATAGCACTTTGAGGGTTTAGTCATTAGAGCACACTGCTTTCTCTTTGGAAGGTAACTTCTTGCTTGGCTAGGTTATGGAAGCTAAGGAGTGACGTCAAGATGTTGTCTGGCCAGAATTTGCAGATAACCATAGAACTCTTCTCCTCCATCAGGCATGGATTTTGCCTCCTTTAGTTCCTGCAGTGACACAGGAGCCTCCAAATACCAAATTATTATCAGGCGGTCTTGGGGGAACCTCTGGGCCCTGCAATAAAGTAGACAGACTTGCTATTGGAAAGTGCTCAGGAGCAATTCAGCCTGTTCAGATTGCTCTAAAATCCTGCAAACCATCTCTAGACTTGGTCAGTGAAAGCCTGACATAGCTCCTGATTGTAAAAACGTACTTCTGGGGATATAATTTATTAACATCCTTCACTTAATTTAAAGAAGTCTGGTTTTGCTGGTGGTATTTTTGTTGCTGTTGTTTCTTTGTTTTTAAAACAAAGTTACATAAGTATGGAGGCTGAGTAATTTTGGAAAAGCAACTTCTGAGCATTGTCTGTAAAATAAAGTATTTGTATTAATTGATCTTTAAGGTCTAACTCAGGGATCACAGACAGGTGGTGGACAATGGACCAAATCTGACTCAATCGGCATCATTTATTGTTCCCATCCAGTGTTTTAAATTTGGGGAATTCGCATAAAATATTTTAATAAATGCCTGTTCTCTCTGGAAAAGTTGGAGTATCTGGTAATACCAGGCCATGTTCCAGCACAGTGTTCACAATGCCATATAGTCTTTCTGATCTGGCGTGTTTTTCATACTGACCTGCATAATCTTGTAAGTAATTAGCGTTTAGGACCCTTGCTCTAAGCTGTCCTATTATTGTGCATTGTAATTATATGATGATATCTTTAACCACTAGTCTCCCTGACAAGATTCTCTGAAGGCAAGGAACATGCCATTATTATCACCAAATCTGCAGTTCCTAACATTGTAGGAGTATTATGGGTAGTCAATAAATATTTAATGAATTGAACTTCACCTTCTATATTAGATTCTTACAATTCAGTAAAATAAGACTGGGACCACTCTTTGTAAGATCACACATATATTTGAATATCAACACCTTTAGGAAAGAGAAATAAATATGCTGGCTTGTGGCCCAAGCCTCTGATAAGTCCAGAGGTTGGTGGTGTGCTGTCCATGTGACATTTTACTTGAAGCACATGGGAAAAGTTCTTAACTTTATCTGAGATAATCTTCAATTTGTTTTTCAGATGTAACCTATCCAACTTCTTGGAAGGTCACTTCTCTAAAGGTTCTTTAGACGTTAGTTGTAAAAATGTTCCATGAGAATCACTTAATTCAAATCTAATCTCCCAAAATTCTATGGGTCTATAGCAGCAGATCCCTCTGTATATCAGATCTATGCATTTAAAAATATTTGAATTTCTGGATGACTATAATTAGGATGTTCAAAGATAGGAGTTTTTGTTAAAAGATTATTCCTACTAAAATTATCTAAATCTGTTAAAAATGGCTAATATATTATTAAAAACATGTCTAACAAACTATTAGGTAGGCAAGTTTAATAGGAATAGAACCAGTAAAAAAGGCTATGGGTCATCTTTACTGGTTACAAGTCTGTTAGTAATTAATATTTCAGTAATATACATCCACATCTGATCAACATCTGGCCAACATCAAAGGTACATCATGTCCCATGCTATGAAGGAATAATTTAACGGATATTGTTTCTGCTCTCCAGGAGCTTACAGTCTAACATAAACAAGACTATAGAAACATATACACGAGAGTGGTCATACTCAACAAAAAGCAACAGATACATTGAAGATAAAGGAAAAAAATATGGGGTAAAGCATGACATTTAAGAAAGGTCAAAGTTAAGGGAAGAAAGAAATTGCTTTTTCATTCCCATTTCCTTGAAAAAGGATTCATGGAAGATGTATAATTTTAACTGTTGTTCAAATCATGAAAGAGAATATGGCTTGAAGCCTAGAGGGAAAAACTTTTTTCTTCTGCTATAAGATACTGAGTGACTGAAAATACTGAGCTGAGTAAGGATGACTAGGTGAAGGGCCCAGCAAGACTTTCCAAGGAAGGAACCATCAAATGGAGAATCCATGGTCTGGATCCCTCTGGTAGAGGACAGAAGCTGGGGGAGACTGCAGGTCTCCTCAACCCTCTTGAAATTCCTCCTAAGTGCAGGTGGTGTCAAATAGCTAGGACACAGAACCAAGAATCTTCCAAAATAATAAAAATGACTAATTCAAAACCTTTGCAAAAATCTCTATGAACTCTCAGTTAAGAAAACAACCTTTGGAAACTTTCTTGTGGGGTTTCCAAGGGAAGAAAGCACTTCTAGATAGAAACACAGAACCAGCAGCCACCTAGTCCACTTTCTCCTATAGGATCTCATTCATTTGTTTGTTTGCTTGCTTGCTTGGTCATTTGTTCTCTTATTGGACTTCTTGAGCTGATACTATCTACTTGATTATTCAGTTTTATCAGCTTTATTTTTCCTCTATCAATGAAGGAGAGCAAACTTTTGAGGACAGGTTGATTTTAGTCAACTTTAATTATAATACGGCCTCAGGCTATCTGAAATACTTTATACAGACTGATACTGGTGGTGACAGGACTGTCAAAGTACTTTGTTCCTAGGGAGAACAATCAAAATGATGACAGCGTCTCTCTCCATAATATCCTGCTTTGCCTTATTCGATATTTGACTCATATGCATGCAGGGTATTTCAAGGACCTTTGGAGGATGCTATCTCAACAAAGAATGCACATTTTTAAGCAATGCCTCTACTCATCTTATTCATACCATAATTACAATGTTAGAATTAAAAATACCTTGATTTTAATTAATACATTTTATTTCAGGAAGCTCAATATTCTTCAGATCTGCAATTATATTTATCTTGTCATATTACATATTCAAAGGAAACCTATGGTGGGGTCCAATCTCACATATTACAAGCTTATAATTCTTTTCTTCCTAACAATTAAATTCAAATCCATTATTAAACATATCAGGATAAATTTGAATAAACAGGAGGAAATAACATGTGTTTCCTCATATGTGAACAGATCTGAAACTCACTGCTAATCCTCTTTGTCCCATGGAGCCTCAGTGGAAAGTAAGTCCCCAAGTACCACCACAATAGTCTCACCATACCTCTGAGGCAGGATAACAGCATTTAAAGTGGGGTGAGAACATGCAAAAAGACAGAAGATACCCATTATTCAGTGCCAGGGAACCCCTAGGATCTGGGCCACCTAATGTTCTACCTTCATAGCTCCTCTTTCATTGTGAGGGAAGGTCTAGAGTTCCAATGGCATAAAGCCTGTTTGTCTATTGTGGTTTTATTCTTTGCTGTCCTTAAGGCTGTGCTCCATTTTTTATATTTGAACAATGGCTCACAAAATAGAGTAAAAGTCCTTGAAAAAATTACAAGCTTTCAAAGAGGCTAATGGGTTCATTTGGTTCTGAAAATTATAAGTCAGCATACTTAATATGTCTCTTTGCTATCATGGCATCACAACAAGTTTCATGCTGAGAACTAGCACTGAACAAAGAATACAGAACTACCAGAATTTGAAACCACCTGTGTGCAACATAGTGCCTCCTGACTACCTATAGTGTATATTTTAATTATTTTCAATAAACCAAATTTAAATCCTACCAATTGCCTGTCTTCTATAACTGATATGTTTCATTCTAATGATACTTCTGGTTTCTTTCTGTATATTTTTCAAGATAAACATTCCTTGATTCCAACTTCATGTTGACAAATGCTTTTGGAAAATGGATCCCAAGAGAAGCCAGTAATTGCCCACAGTTCCAAGCCCAGCAGGAGACACGCCCTGAGAATTCCATAAGCAACAAACTAAAGAATATATTCCATGTTCCCAAAGCCCCCAAAATCCTCAGACATTTCATTGCCTTCCTCCCCAGAGTCATCCTTGCCAAGGATTCTGATAAGCACGCTTGTATATACAGCTATGCAGCAAATGGGCCAATAAGTATAAACAGCTGTACTTACATGTGTCTGGCTTGAGCTGACTGTTGGTGATGCCAAAGTACTGGGGATTTTCAATGACAGGGATCTTGGTCATTCCAATAATGACAGCATCGGGGCCACCCTCTGAAGATGATGGGGTATTACTCCCATTGGAGATGTGGTGGAGTGGGCTGGCAGAGTCATCATCATTGCTGATAACTGAAGCTGGGCCTGGAGTTGGAAAAAAATACATATCCTCCTGTAATTTTTAATGCTTTTGTTGAGTTGTAATTCATATACATAAAATTCACCCATTTAAAATGTTCAATTCAGTGGGTTTTAGTATATTCAGAGAGTTGTGTAACCATCACTATAATCTAATTTTAGGACATTGTAAACATTCTAAATATCTGTCATTCCCCATTCTCCCCACGCCCAGCCCTAGGCATCTATAAATTTACTTTCTATCTCTATAAATTTATCTACTCTGAAAATTTTGTGTAAATGGATTCACACTATGTGATTTTTTGGAACAGTTTTTTTCACTTAGCCTAATGTTTTTAAGCTTCATTCACATTGTAGCATGTGTCATTATTTTATTCCTTTTCCTTGCCAAATAATATTTCATTGTATGGATATGCCACATTTTGTTGACCTAGTCACCAAATGATGGACATTTAGGGTTGTTTCAACTTTGAGGCTATTGTGAATCATGCTGCTATGAGAATTCAAGTATAAGATTTTGTTTAGACATATGTTTTCATTTCTCTTGGGTGGGCTTGCTGGGTCATATGACAACTCTCAGTTTAACTTTTTGAGGAACTACCAAACTGTTTTCCAAAGTGGCTGCACCATTTTATATTCCTACCTGCAACATGTGAGTGTTCCAATTTCAGTACTTCCTTCTTCTGTAATTTAATATGCAGCCTTCCTCTCTGTTCTCTGAACATCTTTAGAACACTCGCTCATTGACGCTCCCAACATCAATCTAAGATCCTGTTTCACAGTGTACTGAAAGACGTACTAGGAGCTCAAAGACCCTAGTTCCTTTCTCTACTCTTTGGACAAGTTACTTACCTTCTTTATTCCTCTGCATCCACTTACATTTGTAAAATGTGCAAAATGATACCTGCTTGTTATTTTATGAGACTACTGATATGAAAATGTATTGTAAATTTAAATGTGCTTCATGAGTATGAATTGTTACTAGGTATTACTAAGTGACCTTACAATGGGTGAACTAGAATTACATTGGACTTTCCTATTACTCTATTTCTCTCTCTGTATATTCTGTCCATAGCTGTACCACTTTTGCCTGCAAAATAATGGCTCAATCCCACAGCAATTTACCTGCCTTACCTTTAGCCATAATATTTTTTATTTATAGAGTCACTCTATGGATATTTTTACAACTAAAGCAATAACCATAGCATTTTTTATATAACACTTTAACTTTCTAGTCCAGAGTCTCAGAATATATATGCCCATAAACACGGTCTACTGTGTCTTATCTAAAATATTAATCCATTGACCACTAAACCCATACTGTTACAACAGAAAATAGATTCTCGAACATAAAGGTCTATATGAAGGCTTCAAAACAATTAATATCTCGGCGGCTCATGGTAGACATTCATACATGAAAAGCAGACAAAGCCCCCTAGACATGTATTTATGACGTGTGTTTTTGCAGTGCACTGAGGGGGTGCAGGGTCTTGCAGAAAGCAACCACTGGCCAGGAATCCTGGCATAAGCCAAGAGGAAGAGAGGGAGAAAATAATGAGGAAGACAAAAGGGAGGCAGGGACAGGGCAGGATCGAGTACACAGCCACGGCAAAGGAGTACCAGGGAAAAGCACAACTTCCTGAGCAAGAGAAGGCTTATTCATGCACCCCCAGGATGCACGTCTCAGCCCATCCACCCATTCTTTACCTCTTCCCTCACACTTAACTATCTCAACGAGAAGCACCACAATCCTAAAAACAAAAGCTGTTGCATCGTACATTTTTAAATCCCCTCTGAAATATCATAGTAATCCATCTCCCAATTCAAAATCCGTTTTCCCCTTCATATGGGGATTACCACAGTATGTAGTGATAACAATTGGACAGTCCCCAGCTAGCTGAATCTTAAACAAACTATGCAGGAAGCAGCCAACTGCTATTATAGGTAATTTTTAAAGCATTCTCTCAAGGGGAATGTTCATTTAAGATGCCTTTAATGATACACTCTGGCTTAATTCCACAAACAAGTCCTCACACAGCCAATTTAGAAGCCACAGAACACTCAAAGCAAAGGCAATCTCCCCAGTTGTGCTCGTCCTGTGCCTAGCTCGTTGGTGTCAGCAAAGAGCAGAAATTCTGCCAAGAATAAAGACAAGACAAATTCCTTCTAGTATCCTTAACCATCCCTGTTTTATGATTTGCTTTCTGGCAGGCCTAGATCACTCAGAGCTTAAACCCAGACATGGAAAATAGAAATGTGTTGTGCTAAGGTTTCTGCATCTTGTCAGTAACCCCCTTCTCTACCCCACTGGCTCCCTCACTCTGTTCCCTGTGCAGCTGTCCCCTCTTTGGGGTTGCCCAAGTAGGCTACTGCTTGAGCTCGCTGAGCGGCAGGGTCACACATTTCTCAACAGATTCTAGGCTACACATTTACCCCCAGAAATACAGGAATTATCATGTTCAAATACTTTATATGCTGTCTAAAGGCCAGGGATATTTGCTTCTGGGGCCCCTGCAACAAGTAGAAACATACTGATCCTAGTTACCTTCGTCTCTGATTCTTTTGGCCCAAGTCAGACTATCAACATTCCTGTAGCATCTCATCATTTCAGAGGAGGTTGATACCTAGAAGACAACATTGAGATTCCTCCAGGAATCTGAGCTCTGAATCATCTGCCATGGACACAGTGGGGCCCTAACTTAAAGAGATCAACTCAGAGACTTGTTCTTTGTGTCCCTTCCTCCACCACAGGACATCCTTTCCTTCCCCTGGCCGTTCTGTTTAAAATCCCTGACTCTGTGGTATAAAGCCCCAGAGGAAATTTTTCAAAAGCCTTTTCACTTTGCCAGGTAGTCACTGTTGACAAATCTGACGGACATACAAACCGCAACCATTTATCAATTGGAATATTAATTCCAGTGCTGTGTTCTTCATTATTGATGCTCCAAATCCTGGCAGATTGATGTGCCTCTCAAGGTTGCAGGAATTCAGCCCATTTTTCTAGGAACATTCTGATCTAATGGAGCTCAGCGAAGTTGGGAAGGGAGAAAGAAAGCTCTCAACGGGGACAATGAATGTCTATATAATTTGACAGCAGCCTGTCTGTGCATGTCACACGATGTGTCACTGTGTGTCTGTGCACGTGACTGAGGAGACACGAGAAAAGACATACAGAAGCCCAGTCGGGGCACATCGCAGTGTTATAAGGAATTCATACGGGGACTTGAGAAAATATCTTATAAGATTAATAAAAAAGTTTTAAATTGTTGGGTATGTGCAGTTTGCTGAGTTTGGAGTAGGGAGTTCTAATTACTGCGCTGACAAATATGACTTATGCCTGGAAACATTTTTAGCCTCCTTTAAAAAATATGTCTCAAGTTCAAAGAGACATTTATTCTTCTATCAGAGCTGCTGGGTAACACATTACAGGCCTTTCTAAACCTAACTTAGGCTTATTTCTTATGATGAGAATCAATGAAGGTCACCTGGGGAAGGAGTTTCATCTCCCAGGACCAACAACACCTTCAGGGCAAGGGAAGAGACTACTGTTCTTGAGCAGCTGTATTAGCCTGTCTTTTATTTTCTGTATTTTCAGGCTTCAACATCTTGGGCCTTGATGACATTGGAGGGACTGCCCCACCCAGGGTTAGCCAGTTCCTACAAATAGTAAAGAATTAGCCTCTGAGTGTACCTTTCATATACAAGCCAACTAATCCATAATCTACACCCCAACCACATTCCTTATCAAGTTACTATACTCCAGGCCATTATCCACACGCCTCATTGCCCCAGAGCCAGGTATCAGACAATGAGGGGCAGCTCCTACACCCCAGAACTCACTGAAGTTCCCCAAACCATCCAATCCTCAACCTGGTTACCTTGCCTCGCCCAGTCCTTCCTGAGGAAACCACAATAAAAGTTCTAGTCCGTGTTTTTCCCTCACTCCCCCTGCCTCCTAACTGACCCAGGTGCTCCTCCCTGTGGCTCCCCTGTGATATGGCGTGACCTCTCCTCTTGGCAACTGTGAATAATGAGCTATCTTTTCATTGATGGCATTCATCTCCTGACCTATTGGCCTCACCATACCTGAATAATCGCAAAACCAACATTTTAAAGCAGCAGCACCTCTGGTGAACTGTAACTGAAGAATAGTTCTGAAGGGTTATTTTGCTGTGGCCTAAAAGGGTGAAATCCTGTTATCGAAGCTTTCTGGGAACCAGCAGCTCTCTGCAGGGCAAAGGGGCCTGAAAAATGTTTAAGTATTGCAGTGATTTGCTATTTAATGAAGGGAAGATCCCATCACACAGCACTGTTGTTGGGAAGTTCATACACACACACACACACACACACACACACACACAAACCATATACACACACACACAAACACACACACACACAGCACAAGCCATAAAACAGGGCACCTTCAAGATTGCCCAGCAGGACACTCCCTGGTATTGCAAAATGCCTATGGTCAGCTGTACCTGAAATCTTCCCTGGGGGGTCACCAATAAATCCTGAGGTGGTTGAGTTTAATGTTCCAACTTCGCCACATCTCCACTTTCTCTTTGCTGGTTAAGAGCTTTTCCCTTGGAATTCATGGGGCTAGTTAAGGGTCAAACTGACTGATATCAAGCTCAAAAAGGGAAATGAAACAGTGTTCCTCATATGGATGGATAAACACATATGGGGTGGATGGCTCAGAACTGAAAGTTTCCATGACACCAGTATACCTCTTGTACTTTGCAATTTTACCTATAGCCAACCTTGCAACCAAAATAAAAACTAACTAACAGATGCCCAAGATGGCTAGATCTTGGAAATGCACATGCAAATGGAAGGGAGTCTGTCTTTTCATGCCTTCTAAGCAATTCTTCTTCATTGTCTCTGTACCCATAGAAAATACTGAACAAATTGGAGGTCCCGGGAGATCACACCTGATTTCAATCCTAGAGATGAGATGCATTATCTGCACTCATCTGCTAGCTATAAGCTCTGCTTTTCAATTGTCAACACAATTGCAAGGAATCAAATGCAATCAAGCACAAATCATAGTGTCTGGATGTTAGTCTTGTTTTGAAAGAGAAATGGTCATAAACAAACAGCTGATTTACAAATTCAGAAATTTATTACACCACGGCCAAAGAGAGAAAGTTAAGACCCACGCTTTTCCAGACATGCATGTTCAGCCAACTTTGCTGTGCATGGAGCTGTAGTACAGTTGTATTTTATTTCCTTAACCTTCTTAGAAATGCATCAACAACCTAGAACTGGGTGATAGTTGACACATCCCTAGAGGGTAAAAACAAGGCAACTTCAAAAACACAAAACCATGTACTGAATCAATTAGCAACAGTTATGCCTTTTCTGGAAAAATTCTAGGTCTCTTTCTTCAGCAAATCAGAAACCAGGGACACACACAAAAAATGAATCAAGGGCCAACAAGTATGAAGAGAACCAAGCAGTTTCACCTGAATTAAACACAAGCTCATTACTTATCCAAAGAAGGAGTAACTACTTACCAACACCTTGTCTTGATTTTACTTTCCCAAATCCAATCCCTGAGAAATCTGAAAACCACAACAAAACATAAAATAAACTTTGAAAGAGAAGCGTAAACCAGAGGTAGTCAACACTGTCCTTAGTAAAATAACTCCAACTCCCTTGCAAAGCTCCATTAGGGACCGAAGCTTCCTCTCAAACACCCAACCCTTGGATTTTTGTGTAAAGATCAAGTTCTCATCCTGAGAACATGAAAGCTCAAGTCAGATAAGGGACAACTGCCTGTCTTCAAGAAAAATGACCAAAACCCAGGGTTAAAAGCTCTGAGCAGTTTTCTTCCTTTCTCACTTTCTCTCTTCCCCCAAAGTATCGAACAGAACAAAAAAGTTACCAGGTGAAAATACACAACGCATCTGGCAAATGCACGAAGGTTCTGAACCTCAGCCAAGTGCAAATATAAGAAGAGAAGGCAGATCTTTTCTGCAGCTAAGACAGGCAGTAAAAGAGGAACACGACATCCCGTGGGAGAACTGACACTAGGGCTGGACGGGGGTTCGAGGGGGGAAACGGGAATCAATTCCACATGGATTCCACAGCTGACTTGCTGTGTGATGGTGGGCAGCTCACGGCAGATCTGTGCCTCTTACTACACAAGCTTCCACTGGCATGCGTAAGAAAGTCTGCCAAATGTTTGCAGGTCTCCAGTGAAGAAAGCCACAGTGAAATGTCTATTTGTGTCCTGGGCCCTACTGTTCCCTTCTAGGTAATTTCTGCTGGGTTCAAAGTGAATTCTGCACAGTGGGAAATCCCTGGACACAAGGCCAATAAATGAATGGAGACCAACTAAGTAACAGTGTTTCTCAGCTTTTTAGATCTGTAATGATTTTTATAAGAATTAGGATAAAAAGCTATGTAGAAAAGGGGCCAATTTAAATGAAACAAAGTATATAAAACCCTTTGCATACTCTAAAATGCCTTACAAAGTTGTCATGATTACTATTTTTTTCAGGTATACTGGGTTTAGCTCTTCCTTCCTTGGTATTCCAGGACTTTCACTCTCCAAACTCTAAGCCAGTTTTTACTTCTGATTGATATTCCTCCGAATGCTTTCTTCCAGGTTTTAGAAGACAGGATGAAGGTCTGGCCTCTATTCAAAGCCGAATAAAGATTCCTTTGCACAGAAGACAGTGGACCTCATTCACTGGTCCTCGGTCTAGGGAGGCAGGGCTGGCCATGGATTTCTTAACTACGACTAATCCCTTTCAGAACAGAGTGTATTTTCCTACTTATTACTTTTTGTTTTCTATGTTTGTTTGATTTACACAGTTTTAATTAAACCGTAAGTTGAATTTTTAAGACTGCTTATTTCACCTGAGCATGTTTCAAAATCATGTTTCCATCTTATGGACCCACTGAAGGACACTGCCATAGCAGCCCCCCACTGATTTACACATCAACTTATTTACAGTCATTAACTCTTATAAACACAACTGCAAGGAACAGCTTTACTTGTCTTAGGTATTCCCATCCCCATTTTCAAAAATCATTCCCTCAAGGTAAATCTTAGAAATGCAATTAGGGTCAAAGGGGATGAATATTGTTAAGGTTCTCAACACATATTATCAATTGCTGTCCCACTATACCTGGCCTTACTGTCACCAACAGCGTGTGAGAAGGTAGGAGTGTATTTCCAATGGGAAAGCTAAGGACCTACTTCTGTCCTTGCCCTTGGTATGTCTCCACCTAACTGAATAGAGACCTGGCAAATACCCACCCCTGACCTGTGCCACATGAAGCCACTCACACTTTATGGCTCCTGGGCTGGTGTTTGGCAGGGGTGCAGTAGGGAGGACTGCAGATATGGAAATAATCAAAATAAGGCAGATAACACCCGTGCAGTCATTATCACTCACCAAGTATTGCCCTCCACCATGGACATTCCTCCATTGGTCCTCAGCCAAACCCTTTAATATAGTATCCTCTGTTCATTGACAAGGACTTGAGACTCAGGGAGGCTGATAGACTTAGCAAGTCACAGCTCATAGTGACTCAGCCTTCTGATGACAAATCCAGGTTTTTTAAAATTTTTTTAAAAAATCTTTCATAATTGCCTTTCTAAAAGTAGCCAAAGTTTACAACATTACAATCAGGATTTAATTTTGTATATAAAAAAGCATAAGTAGTCATTTATTTTCATTTACTTATTCAACAGGAATACCAGAGGATTCAAAGAGAAATGAGCTGTGTGGCCTACACTCTAGGAGCTTACAATCAAAGATCAGCTACCCTAGAAGTATGTCCAGGGTGCATGGGACTCCAAGGAGGTGCATCTATCCATTTCAGGGAGGGGGAGGGGAGAATTCTCTGGTTTCTGGACCATGGATTCGAATTAACCAAGAATGAGAGAAAGTAGAGGGGCATTCTCAGTGTAAGTAGTCCAGTCGTGGCTAACATGGGCAGTCCTGCCTGTGTCAGGGGCTGATGTGACTGAAAGCAAAGGAAACTTAGCAAAAAATAAAGGCTAAGCCAAGAGTTTAAATTTTATAGGTAGCCCAGCCCCTACCCCAAAACAAGAAATCTCAGGCTAGGCAGGAACATGATCAAGATTAGTTTTAGAAAAGTAATTTTGGCTGCAGAGGCAGACAGGATTATAAGAAGGCAAAACTTAGGGCACGAAGCTGGTAAGGAGGTTTCTAGAGAAATCAAGGCATGAGAGGACAGTGGCCTGAACCAGGTCCTGGGAGGTGGGATGGGGAAGAGAAGGGGATGGCTATCAGGCATATTTAGGGAGGTCAAGAGGACATGGTGATGAATTGCAAGTGGAGGGAAGTATGGGAAGTAAACAATGAAAGTTAGGGGTTTGGACAATGAGACGTATGGTGTCTCCAAGGAGCTTAGAAAGGAAACAGGGCTAGGGGGTTAAACTGACAGTCTCACGGGTGTGAGCCACAAATCCCAAATAAGACGTCTACGTGGGGACTGGTGTTCAGACCTCAGAACACATGTCTAATGCCCAAAGTAGATTTGCCCAAGTTCAAGAACCCATGGTTTAATGGGAGAGCAGAAGCCAGACGCTGTACCGGGGACACATTTCTTGTTTGTACACACAAAACACCCTGTTTTCCAGGAACAAACGAAAGGGTATGCAACTGAGGCTAACTTTTGACAAACTTATTCCTAAATTGCTAAAAGGTGTCTAAGTTCTCTTCAACAGTAACACAATTATTATGTAAGAATACAGCCTTCTTGACCGTACCTCAGGATACTTGGAAAATTTATGACCAGATTACCAAGGTCACATTGGTACCTCTGCTCCCCTCCCCCACCCCGGAAGCTGTCCCCTGTCTGACAGCTCTTTCTTGAAGGATTTAAGCAGCAGTCTTAAAACTTAATACTAAATTTCACCAGCAAAATTTTCCCACAAGGCCAAAAAGAAACAATTTCTCAATTTCCTGCGATGTTTCATCCACTGGGAGTCGAGTCTTGCCAAGCATTGTTTTCTATTCTGTTTAATAATAGACACTTTATTCACTGCAAAATAAAAGGCTCCTTCAAAAGCAAATGTAGTCACAGCGAGCTTAGAGAAACTCCTTTCGGAATCTAGACCAAAAAAGAGTCTAAATTATAAAATGAACCAATTCAATCCAACTGATATTGAAGAAAGTTCAGCCTTCCTTGACCAGGGAAGAGAAACATGTTTTTTTAAAATGGCACATTAACCCATGAACAACTCTAAGATGAAACTTAAACTAAATAATATAAATGGCAATAAAGATTGCTTTTCAAACATCTCCCAAAGGAAACAGCAAAAATTTAGGGGGTTGAAAAGGAATATTTATGATGCCATTGAGAATCAGAGGAGGGAGCAAATAACAGGCAACATGGAGAAACCTAATCTTCCCTGTGGGTGCTGACTTGCACAGACACTAAAAGAGATTGTTAGAAGGGATCTGATTCCAGAGAATGCAATTTCTGGATTTTTTCTTTTTTAAGTGTCATAAAAATCATTTTAGTATGTCAGGAGAAAATCAGCTTCCCTCCCTTTTAACTCTGGAGAAACTAAAATTTCCTGTGTTCTAAAATGTAATTTATTTATATTTTAAGGCAAGACTCACCACCCTCCACCCCCAAGAAAAGCATCTCTAACATCCTAATGGAAGCAAGTGGGAAAATATGATTCATGACAGAAATGTACTTTCCCTCGTTTCTTATGGTCGTATCCACTCCCTAAAGCACACATGAAAGAGGATCTCTGGGCTGCCTTTGCTTCGAGTAAGGTGTGGACCAGCCAGTGCTGAACACAGAATAGATGCTCAATAAGCGCTTAATGGAGTAGCCAAATGCCTTCTACCTCAAGCAAAGAACTGGGAGTACTGGCCGCTGGAGTGGAGGGAAAATTAATACAATGGATGCTTTGCTGACAATATAAGCATCTCCCTTTCCAACCAACACACAATCAAAGTGAGTAATAGTTTGCTTCAAATTAATTCCAGTTCCTCGGGCCACTGAACAGTGTAGTTTGGGGCCAAGTTTCCACTTCAATTTAATCTTAATCTTTCACTCAAGGACACAACCTTTATAGAAATCCCATGTCCACTGACTAGGAGTGGGCTTGCTTTGAGTTAAATTGGTTGTAGAAATCATGATTCAAAGGGTCCTGGAATCCTCTTGACCTACTTTCATTGGCTTCATCCCTTCCCTTCCTTCAGACTCCAATGAGGCTTAATTATACTCATCTCCAAGTAACATTGAACATTCTTCCAATGTGAAGAATATAAAGAAAAATACGTGTATTTTAGCTAAAACTGCTAACTGCTCTCTGAAACCTTTGTTTTCTCCCTTTTTTTCCTGGGCCCACAGATAGACTAAATTAACCAGCCCTCCTTGAAGTTAGTTGCGGCCATATCATTGAATTATAGCCAATGGACAGTGAGCAGAGCGGTGGGTACCATTTCTGGGTCTGGCCCATCAAGAGTTCCCATGTATGCTACCTCATGCTTCCTCCTTCTACCTATCCAGAATGAGGACAGCATTTATATCAAACTTGGACTTTATGACTTGAAGTTAG